AAAGACGTGTTAATGAAATATTTAAATTTCAAATTGATCATCGATTTGTAATCGAATGAAAATCGCGATTACAATAAATAATGAACGAGAATAATCGACTTGCAAATTCGTTCGTTCGGTTGGTAACGCCTGTCACTTGTGTGTTAGCAACAGTTTGTTCAGTTGTTCTGTTTGTTATAATACGTTCGAGTACGTTTATAGGTTATAAACTTAAGGTTTATTTATAAATATAAATAGTTAAGATGCCGAAGGTTAGGTCGACGAAACGCAAGCAGTCTGAATCGGACTCGGATTCAGGCCCCGACGATGTAAGTTTATAAAATTAATAACTTTGTTTTTGTTTCATCCGTAATATTCGTTTGTTTCAATTGCAGAGGAATCCGGTGAAGAAATCAAAGGAGCCTGAGAAGAGCACAGGTGGTGGTGGCAGCAAAGCATCGAGCGGCGGTGGTGGTGGTGATGATGAGATGAGCTGGGAGTTGGGCAACAATCGTATGCTGAAGCTGACAGAATTCAAGGGTAAATGGTACGTGAACATCAGGGAATTCTACTTGTCCGATGGTGATCTGAAGCCGGGCAAGAAGGGAATCATGCTGTCGATGCCACAATGGCAAAAGTTCAAATCGGCGCTGCCTGACCTCGAGGAGGCCATCAAGAAAAACGTTTAACTCATCGTATGTACTTCTGCTGTTGCTGCAGCAACATTTATTTATGTAATTGTAATACTATGTAAGACTCTCTTTGAATAAACTCTGTTTCAAAGTTGTTTCTCTTTATTTATTCCAACGTAAACAACACAAATTGTTATTTTCGTAGAACAATAAAAAATAAAGTTAAACATGTAATAATAATTTGATGTATACAAAGAAGGTACAGGAAGGTTTGTTTGTGTGTGTTCGTATGCAAGTGAAGATCAAGTCCACAAGACTCGTAGAGAGATAAAACTATTATTAATATTTCATATATATATATTTACGATTAACAAACTTGCATATAGAAGTAGATCAGTTTCAGTGAAAAGAATCAAACAAAAAAATACACATGTTATATTATATTCTTTCTTTTCTCATTCATTTCGGTGCCGGAGGATTATTATTAAATTCTTTTTCTTAGTAGCAAAACCAGATTGCGAGAGAATACATATAATATTAATATCACTTTTAGAAATAGAAAATCTTTCAGTTAT